GAAATACCTTACAGGAGGATGCAGAATTAAACGAAGCAAAAAAAAAGTGTAATTATTTCTGTATTTCCTATTATTATTCCTTGTCAAGTTTCCACATGCAAAAACCTGTTTTTTTAAACTGAACAGTGGTGAAAACAGGCAATGGCTTTAATGACTGGCGCCAGGTCCTGCCTGCTGGTACCTTAATTCATCTCAGCAGACTTCAGCCCTCCCCTATCATAAGTTGCCGTGCCACCAGGATCTTTGAATGCTCACGCAAATAGTGAGTCTGACCCATAACCGACTGCATCCCCGCTTAGCGCAAAGCAGGTTTTGAAGCACAGCTAAGCTGATATGGGAGTGATTATGCAGCCTTTAAATGCTGCAAGCACCCAAACACAGTCTGGAGTGGCTTCCTGTTCTCGCACAACCAGTGCGATGGTTTTGCGATGCCGGCAAACGCGAGAAAGAACCTTCTGCAGTAGGAACGACCCAGACGTATCTGTGACTCTGGATTCGTCTAGAGGAGGCAGGACAGCTCTCGTCTACTTCAGAGGAGAGGAATTCCCATTCTCATTCACTAGTATTCATTCCTCTTTCTGATATAGCTCACTTCTTTTTCAGCTTCAGTTCCAGATTAAGATATAAACTGTAGGTATAAGGGAGCCAAGAACCAGCAGGCTGAGAGAGGCGAGCCAAAGCAACACCTTTTCCATAAGCATCTCAAATACGGCAGGGCTGTTACACAAACGAAAAGCTATGGCTTTAAATCATCATATCGTTGCTGTAAAACTAGTCTTTTATCTGTCCTCTGGATCCATTTTTACCCAAGTATCAACATTCAGCCAGCGCAGAGGAGTCTGCTGCTGCCGAAGGTCTATGTGACTAAAATTCCCCTTAGGTCTTAGGCACGCCATCCTCTCTGTCCGCTGAATGATTGACATTAATTGCTTCATGCACAGCATGGACACAAGCCCCGGTGAAAGGAAAAGAGATTAAAGCCGGAGCAAATGGAGGAACCGCCGAGAACTTTTCTGTGGCAGGAGGTGACACCTACGGACTCAACAACAGTTTCTACTGGGGCATTGTACACTGTGAAAATCGATCCCCATACTAGACCTATCTGGATATTTGCATGCATCCAGCCATCGCGGCGTTTCAAGCCCAAAGAATGAATGTGACATCCCATCCAGGCAGGAATACATTATCATCTTTGCCTTTAGAGAGAGAGATTAAGTAATCTCAAAGTCACACTAGCAGCCTGCAGGAGAGAGGAAAAACTGCATCCAGACTCCCCATGTCTCTGGTCACTCCTGATCCATTAGCTGGCCTTGCCAAGATGAAATAATCAAGTATTTCGGGATAAAAAAGCCACATCCACTTCATAGCTTCCTGACTACAGAAGAGACAGTAGATGAGCGAATACTGACTATTCATACCCCGAGTACTTTCCTTGCACTGTTCATGGATTGGCACAAACTCAAACAGCCAGGCAGCAACCCATCTTGTTGTGTTCATATTGTTTGCAGTGTCACATCACATCTGATACATGTATGTGTCCAGTTTGAAACACAGCAGAAAACTCAACTAGCCCAACCTAGGTCCCTCTGCCCATTGAAGATAAAACTGCAGAAAAGCGACCCGCTAAATGCTTCAGGTCTACCGGTTATTTCTCTCCAATTTCCAATTTGCAAATCAAAAGACTTGATCACAAAAAAAAATTAGAGCAGTCGATGAAAAACAGAACACTCAGTACACATACAGATAATAAAGTCATCAGAAAGGAAAAATCACTTGTCAAACTTCCCTTAGACTTGTGTTTTTTTGAGAAATAAATGTTAATTGAATTGGATCTGGGAGGTGTTTTTGACACATGCAACCACCTAGCTCCTGAAGATGAGAGTAAACTGAGAGAAACTAGGGGACAGTCATGAGCGATTTGAAGCTCTTCAGCTATTTTCTTCTTTCTCTTTGAAAACGGGGATTTTTCTTCCTACTAGTTTCAAACCATGCTCTGGATCTAAATATCTTAAAAGGCAAGCAGTAACACTGAAAATGTCTAGATATGTATATTCCACCATGAGTCATTATACTTTAATATTTTGGTGTCTGGGAAATCGCTGAGTGCATCACTACCTACCCTGGAAGATAATTAAGTTTAAAAGTCATAATAAATGTAAAATAACATATAATGAAACAGTCTAAAAGCTAGGCATTTATATTTTCCTTGGAATATTTTCTCATTACCCTCTTGCAAACTGTCAGCTACCCAGTCATCGTAAAATTGTTTGAATAATTTTAAGAGAAAAATCAAACACATTAACTTTTAATAATATTTTATGAGACACATAATTCTTTAGGATGTAATAACCTCTCATTCTACCGCAATTAGTCACTTGGATCCATCATGCTGGTCCCCTGGTATTCAAGACAATCTAAATTTTGAGTAATACTGGAAAAGATAATAGAGATCCAAAATTAATACAGTCCTTTGTGCCTGTAATGTGGTCCCTAATGGAAGCTTCTTTTTTCTTTAAACTGAACCAGGGAGCAAATTGTGAAGAGTCAAAGGAGGACATAATTTGCAGGAGACAACACTGTGATGGGATCCTCGTACAAGGGTTTAATTATTATCGTGAATAATCACTGTTCTAATGATGATAGTTGTTTGAAATGACACTAGACACTGAAACTCCCCACTGTCAAGGCCAGAAGCAAGAAGCAGGGAGACAATAAATCCCTTTTCAACTTGATGGAGTGCAGGGAAATACCATGTTAACATTAGCAGCCCACAACTCGCCAGCTCCACCATCTCAGACTGTGGGAGGTAGTCTGTATTTTGCAGAAGACTGCTGTATTTCTTTGGCATCCTTGTCATTGGCACTGCTCACAGTCATGTTTATCAGCGTAATACCTTGGCTAATTTCACCCCAGAATAATGTTTGTTTACATAAATCTGTTCTCCATGGTAAAATAGCTAATGCTCGAGCGTTACTCTATTAATGGAAGACAGGATGGCGAGAGCAGACGTCCTATAGAAAATTACCATACTCTCCAATTGCCTGTGTTAGTCCTGACTGTCGGTAAGTGGTGATTAACACCCCGCTGGCTGCAGCTGTACTTCTCAATATAGCTTCTCTGAGTAGGAGGATGCACAGAGAGTACCTCATTACTATGTCTTTAAAGCTGTAAAACAAAGAATAATGCAAAATAAATCCTTTAAACTAAAGGTCACAGACCAGAATATGTTGGCATTAGCACCTGCTCATGCTTTCTCCTGAAAAAATCATGACGGTAAGTGATTTGTCTGTTTTTCCCCAGTTCCCTTTCATTGCAGGTATGCAGAGGCCACACAATATTAGTAATTCTGAATATCAGTAATTCTCAGCCATAGCACCTTGGTTTTCTACAATGCCAGAAGAAAAGCTTAGGAGCTTAGTTAACAGTCTGTTTTGCAGGCTGCCGGCTGAGACAGCAGAGCTTGTGTTAGGTGTGCCTGCCCCACGCTTTCTATTCACCGCAGCCTGTGGGAAAGCACACCAGCCATCCCATTCCCTCCACACTGAAAAGTTAGATCAGATTCAAGCCCATCTTTTGTGCACATTTAGACTGCGAAGTGTTAGAAAATCTGACCATATTGCTAGCCTCTAAAACCCGCTAACAAAAGATTTATTTAAATTTTTTGCTTGCTAGTGTAAAGGAGTCAGCATGGTAACCACCTTGGTAGATTTTGGCCTCTTTGTGGATAATATCTCTGACCAGGGAGGAAGTCTGTGGCTACCCTCAATCTCTTGCTTTCTCTCAAGCAACCTCTGAGGACTTATAGTTACATATAAAGGCACAGACTGTAAAACCCAGCAACGTTCTTGTTGTGGTCAGATCAGCTCACTTTCTGGTCTGAAATAGCCTTTTGCCAGACGCAGCGCCAGCACGTGGCCCTGGACGCTGCTGGAGGCTGCAGGAGCCCAGCCCCAACATGTGGGACACGGCCCGACCACGGGGTGAGGTAGTCACAAAGGCATTTCCCACAGAGCCCAACAACCCCCCAAGCTTTTACTCCTGAAGCACAAAAATAAAATAGCTAAGTATTTGCAGTGAGTGCGGAACTATTTGGAGAATCTGACTGGTTCTTTTGGAAACCTCTGTGGAAGCTGAGCTCTTCTGGAAAATCTAGTTCCAAACACGAGTAGTGAGCGTATCTAAAAATACACCCATGAATGAGTAAGTAAGTGAGGCACAGGCATCTTGCCTTACTACATGCTAGAGGCACTCTGGAATAGATGCAGTTTCTGTCACTCCACCTGCTACAGTGGTGAAAGTGGGTCTAAGGCAGCCACTAACAGAAGAAAGAGGAAAGAAAAAAGGAAAGAAGGAAAGAAAGAAAGAGAAAGAAAGAGACAAAGAAAGAAAGAGAAAACCTGATTGTGGCTTGTGAACGAAGTGCAGACTGATTCAGGAGGACTTGGACGTGCAAGTTTTTTACCCAGCTGAGTCACTGCCAAGAAAGAAGCAAAGAGATCACATCTCCTGCTGTCACAGCAGACCACAAACGACTCGTAAGGAAGACATGTAAATTGAGTTATCCCCAGAAGACACCACCTCTCACTGCATACAATTATCCTCCCATACACAGGGTGCACCCATGGCCAGCCAGTATGGCCTTACAGCCTGTCAGGAGCTGTGCCAGAAGGAGAATTGGGAAAACATCCACCTCATGTTTCAGTGATTCAAAGGAACAGGATGACGTAGCCTGAGCAGCAGCTCAGAGAGCTCTGCAGAGCTGCGAGGTGATTTCTCACATCCAGGTTGGAGCATTCCAGCGTTCAGGGATCAGGGGTAGATTTCCTGAGATTCCCCACTGTTTTGCTGTTCAACAAAAAAGATGCCAACGACATTAGTCCCGACTTGCTCTGTGATCAACCAATACCTACTTTCAACCCTAAAACCCGTCAGACTGCTGCCAGAACTTAAGAAATTATCAAATTCCTATAAAATTCACAAACCACTGCTCAATGTACAACCTGCCTCTTCCGGTAGTTTCTCGATTAGCTTGTTCCCAAAATAGGCACAGGTAGTCCAGTTGAGAGTCGGGATGATTTTGGCAGCTCTCAGGCTGATGGCTTTTGCTAAGACGAAAGACCTTCTCTCCACAGCTAAGGAAAATATGTCCGGCTGGACTCCTCCGAGAGCCTGCTTCCTCCTAGAGCGCTGCTGATGCTGCATGACGAGCAGCCAGCTAAAGTCAAATTCACGCAAGATGGAGGTATGAGCTGAAAGGAAATAGGCAGCATTCTCAAGGATCTGAAACTCTGTAAAAACACTCTGCATTGAGGGCACCACTCCTTAACCCTGGCAGATTCAGGACCTCTGGGACCCTCAAACAGCCACAGAAGCCAACAGTGCTGAGTATAATCGGAGTTGGACAAAACCACTGCCAGCCTGTCCTGTTGGACCCTATATGTGCAACCTCTAGGCTGGGTTAATGCAGCTCATATGTAGGTAAGAAGCTATACATTTGCCTGATGTAAAACACGGCAGCCTGAGAGAAGACGTAAGACTAAAAAGTTTGAAGGTGTGATGGAACCAGCACTTGGGCACGTACTCTGCCCTAGCAAGCCATGCAGTGTGTAGCTTAATTCAAGCTTTCCGAATTGACATTTAATATTTACGTTTTCCTCCAGTGTGCCTGGGATTATGCCTGGATACCTGACAAGCCATCTTGCACTCTGTAATCACATTGCCCATTAGGATAATTAAACTGTCACCTAACAGGGGGGAGCTTATGAGTGCAGGGGACAAACCTGATTAAGAGCCATATTTGGGCTATGGAACAATTTATTTATTTACTTACTTACTTATTTACTTATTCTACAAGAGATAAGAATAGTCATGAAACTAACTACAAAAATTTAGCACAGCTTTTCCTTGACATGCCAACTGCAGACAAGCACAACGTCTTCTAATTCCTAAGAACTCATCACACTGTTCCATCTGGAGAATTGAAAGAAATAGAATATTTTTGCTTTTAAATACTTCGGAGACACTAACATATTCTAATGATGTCAGAAGGCTTTAGATCAGACTTGATAACGCAAATACGTCAAAATTGCCCAGCTTGAGAAGTGCGGTACAACTAAGATTAATAAACAGGTCACCAGGAAAGGCTTATGTACCAAGGTCTGCAGATTTGCAGCTCAAATTTTGAGGAATTCTTGAAACAAATCCTTACAGAATGAAAATATGATAAGAGCTCAGAAAAGACAGTCCTGACTACAGTGGTCCTTATGCACACTCAGTAAGTATTTTGACAGGGAAGAAACTGTTTCCCCACATTATTTTAAATTTGAAGCTACCAAGTGGGCCTCTGGGCTGTTTGCAGGCAACAGGCTTTACCTTCACTGAAAATCTGTATCCTCTGGAAGGCAGAAGTCTGAAGGAAAAAATTGAAATACGAGTGACTTTTGCGTGCCTTTTTGGCTGAAATGATGAGTAAAGCAAGCCATAAGGCAGCAGCAGCAGCAAACCCCTTCCTTCCCAAAAAGTTGAAGAGCAAGACGGCAGAACAGCCTGAGGAGCAACCCTCTGTTATCATAAGCAGCCAAGATCATTAGAGGGTCATGAAGAGAAATTATTATTATCCGACAACCAGAGTAACATCAGAGTAATCAATCACGGGTCAAGGGAACCCTGTTAAGAGCCTCCATGCTCATATCGGCGTGTCATAAGCCTGTTTCCTTGCCATTGCTCTGTTTCAAGAACAGGCCATTCGTCCTTGACCAGAAGCCAGGATCTGTGCCAGAGGAGGGAGGACAAGACATCCTGCAGCCAGCGGAAATTATGATGGCTAAGAGGAGCACGGGCAGCTGTTTTCTAACACCCCACGTGCCCTGCTGAGGCACTGGCAGACCAGGCTGGCAAGTGTTCGAACTGGCCATCAAAAAGAAAAGGAGGCCACCTCTCCCACCTCTCAGACATACTTTTTAAGGCTGGCTGGAAGTGCCTGCATCAGTCAGATTCAGCTCCCTGGCTTTTCTTGCTAGGTTTGGGAGCCAGAAGAACACTTCGTAAAGAAAAGCAGGGATTGCCACGTCATGACAGACTTCAAGCCTAAACCATTCACCAGGAGGGTGATACTGTACCTCAACTACAGCTGCTGAGGACTCAGAATTGGGGATGTGCCGCGCAGGAGATCATCCTACCTCGACTTCCTCTGTCGTGCAAGTGTGTAATGCCTTTGATTCCATTAAGACTGATTATTCCTTATTGCATTAAAGACAGTTTGCCACAAGCCACCAAAAGTCATTACAGAGATTATTCCTTGCCTGAGGATGAGTTGCAACACTTAAATCACATCTGAACCACGGCATAATTACTGCTTTTCTCAACAATGAGGAAAATGTTTAATTAACCATTTTTTTAACTTTTAAAATCAATTAAGTAATTGAATATAATCCTTTAACAAATTTTAAAAATACTCATTTTTATTTAAGATGTATGATTCAATTTTTAAATAAAAAAGAGAAAGGCTCACCATTTTTTGAGTGCTTCTATAATTTCACTTAGACCCAAAAAGTAATTAATGATAATGCAGTAAGTTACTTTGGATTATGAATACAAAAACAGTTTAACGCTTTTTATTTAAGTCTTTTTGCTACCTTTACAGTCAGTAACTATAACTCTGTACTACACTCTTGGGAGTTCCACACCCAATTACCTTTTGTATGTAAGTAAAAATTTATTTACATATTCATACCAAATGCATTCTTTTGCCAAAAAAAAAAAAAAAAAGCGTCTCAAAGCAACACTAATGCAAAATATGCACAAATAAATGTATCTGTGCAGAGTTTGTGGTAGGTTATTGGTGTAGTAGAATGAAGACTACCAAAATTACCAGAAAAATCTGACATTTTTCTTAAAAAGAGCTACCTCCACAATACATGCATAGTTAATATTCTGCATATACATAGCATATACACAGCAGTCAAATAAAAGACTTTCAGAAACAGCTACATTCTTCATTACGGCAAGAAACAATACAAAACATTTTGTGTTATCAAACTTCTGGCATGTCCATTAGAATATTTACTGTGAATAGAGAAGCATTAGATTGCAGTGTGTGAGTTACCCAGCTGCTGTAACAAGAAACAGTGCATACGATCACATTATTTTAATTCTGCAATATGGATTCTTCATGAAGCCATTCTGTGTCATGCTTATTTGTGTCATATAAAATACAAAACTTTCAATAAAGGAACACACTGTTCAGAAATAATTATGGTTTACAAGGCTTAAAATAGCCTTTTATCAAATTTTATTTAAATATACTAAACTCTAAAATAGATGTCCATTTGACAAATTAAATTCTGTATCTATTATTGGATGCTGTTCTCACTTGGCAATTGTCTTCGATAACATATCCACCGCATTGTCACAACGGGATAAGCAGTCAGCTTAATACAGCAAATCAGGCCTGATTAATCTGGCTGGTTGATACAGCCATAATCCTAACGCTTATTGGTGAACAAATATAAGGAGCAAGTATACCTTCCAAGTCACTGAACTACTTCCCTACTGCTTTCTAACTAAAATTGCAGAAGCTTTACTCAGTTACCATAGCAGAATAATCAGTCCTACCAAAGGCTTCAGCAAGCAAAGAGAACATCAGTATAAGTGAATTTTAGTAGGAGTCTGCTTACTGAATAGTGCAGCAGGAAGGGGTTGGGTTAAGAGGCTAAAGGAAGGGGGAAGCTCTCAGCAACAGAGTGGTGCTGTATAATTTATCACTGAGCAGCTACAGGTTATGACGTATGGCCCTCGCAGTGAAGAACCTCCAGGCAGTTTGGTAGGGCTCTATGAAGATCAATGATACACCAAAGAATACCATTAAAAGGCACATTCATCTTCCGCTAATCAATAATGGCCTTAAAATGATCTCTGTGACACACTATTCTTACAAGCGTTGCTGCTGGGCTTCTTCAGCTCACTTGTCATCCTCTGACTCAATTCTTATTACGGGCAACTACTTCACATGTTCCCCTTAGTGAAGGGATTTGGCTTCCACTGAAACTTAAAAAACAGAACAAGGAAATACAAAAGTGGCAACAAATTCTATCAAGATAGCGAAGCATTCAGTCTGTTCAATAGCTTCTGATACAAACAATGCAAGTAGCAAGTGATTTTTTGTTTCTTTTATCAGACCAAAACAGTCTACAGTTACATTGTTCATAGATTTTAGCAAGCCGTTGTCAAGGGGATACAGAATTAATGAAAAGCATCCTCGGATCTGAATAACCAGCAATTAAGGAGACAGAGGCAGCAGAGCTTGATTTATCTGTTTGTGCAGGCAAGGTGTCACTGTGAATTTGTGTTCCCACGGCCCACAGGGGAGTCTCACCCTCCTGGGATGGGCTTTATCCTTTGCGTGAGAGGCTGCAGGCTGGCACCAGATGTGGCCTTGGACTCAGTCCATGTCTCTGGACTCTGACAGAGTCCTTCACGGTTCCCGGCCAGCCTGGACAGTGCCAACCCACCTGCAGGAACGGGAGCTGCTAGCGGCCCATGTCCTTGCAGCTTGGCTGCAAGCAGGGTTCCCCATAGCGGGCTTCATGCTCCCTGAAATTTCCTGGAGAGCACCATGAAGGGTCTCTCCGTGGTCTGCAGAGTACAGAGAATGGTAAAATTTGCTGGCAGCCAGGAACGGCACTTGCTGGGAGACCCTCCTCACTTTTGGGAAAGATGGATAGGCTTCCTCCATCTTCCCACCAGGAAAGGATCTTTCTAGGCTATGCAGCATTTGCTCCCTGAAAAAACGCTATGGTTTTGTTTCAACCAAGACAAAAAGATGCTGCTGTTGGTGATGGAGAGGGGGTCTCATGCATGGATTAAAACATTCCAGATAGAGCCCTTTCATCTTCATTGATCCTTCTACATCTGTTTGCCCAAGCTGATAAATCGAGATATCTTGACCACTGATGTCAGAGGGACATCGCCTCATCTGCCCTACAGCGTGTTTGGTCAGCACTGCTCAGCAGGGTTCACCATTGCAGTTTTGAGGGCAGTGACTCAAAAACCATTTTAAAAGACCTCCCACAGTCAGTGCCCACCAGTAAGGCTAAAGGACCTCCTGCACATATGCCACACACAAGCCATCTGATACCACCATGTCTGACTTACTGCTCTGTAGCGCTGTGCAGAGCACACACAGGAAGCCCTCTGCTTTACTGCTGCCAGGACTCCTTGAGGTGACGAGAGTTTAGTTTTACCTCATCAA